CCCCCCCCCCCCCCCCAAATGGTGATGTCATTCAGTTCTGAGAACAAAGCTGACATAGAACTATATCTGTTTATTCAGTGACTTATACACAATTTTTCAGACTGTATAAATACTTGTATATACTTTGAATTTGTTAAAATGCCTGATATTCTGATCAGGAATATATGGTAAGTAAAATTTGCTTGCATAAAAGATTACAGGTTTTTTCTATGTATGACAGATGTTCACTCCGGTGATGTCAGCATTCAATCTCAAACTTACCGGCACAAATATATACATCTTCACATACGGTTAAAGCAATGTCAAACAAAACACAACACAAATTATCATGGCTCATAACCAAAAGGTTCTATTAATTACAAGAAGGTCTCACAGGATGATTCTAAATACTTGCCAATTTTTGAAAGATGTCCGTGACTTTGACCTTTGTGAACTCTGGTGGAGTAGGAGACACGGGACGCTCAGATTTCGGCGCGACTTTTGGAGACATGTAAATTTCTGTAAAATCGTCTTCTTCCTCCAATGAAGAATAGCTCTGTAGACAACTGTCGGAAATGAAACATCAGAATAACACACTGGTAAACAATGAAACATCAGAATAACACTGGTAAACAATGAAACATCAGAATTAGACACTGGTAAACAATGAAACATCAAAATTAGACACTGGTTAACAATGAAACATCAGAATTAGACACTGGTAAACAATGAAACATCAGAATTAGACAATGGTAAACAATGAAACATCAGAATTAGACACTGGTAACAATGAAACATCAGAATTAGACACTGGTAAACAATGAAACAACAAAATTAGACACTGGTTAACAATGAAACATCAGAATTAGGCACTGGTAAACAATGAAACATCAGAATTAGACAATGGTAAACAATGAATCATCAGAATTAGACACTGTTAAACAATGAAACATCAGAATTAGACACTGGTAACAATGAAAAATCAGAATTAGACACTGGTAAACAATGAAACAACAAAATTAGACACTGGTTAACAATGAAACATCAGAATTAGACACTGGTAAACAATGAATCATCAGAATTAGACACTGGTAAACAATGAAACATCAGAATGAGACACTAGTAAACACCGAAACATCAGAATAACACAGGTAAACAATGAATCATCAGAATTAGACACTAGTAAACAATGAAACATCATAATAAGACACTAGTAAACAATGAAACATCATAATAAGACACTAGTAAACAATGAAACATCAGAATGAGACACCAGTAGACACCGAAACATCAGAATAAAACACTGGTAAACAATTAAACATCAGAATAAGACACTAGTAAACAATGAAACATCATAATATGACACTAGTAAACACAAAAACAACAGAATAAGGCACTGGTAAACACCGAAACATCAGAATAAGACACAAGTTAACAATGAAACATCAAAATAAGACACTTGTAAACAATGAATCATCATAATATGACACTAGTAAACACCGAAACATCAGAATGAGACACTAGTAAACAACAAAACATCAGAATAAGACACTCGATCACCGACACAGTACATCAGGTCAACCTGAATTATTACAGGTAGCGTGTAAACCACTAACACCAAATAAAACAGTACGAAAGGTAACTAAATGTATAAATGTTTGTCAGCATATTGGGATACAACAACATTAAACCCTGGATGTTAAACCCTGATTAAATCAAAAGTCCAGAGACCTGTGACTGATGATAACAGGCTATGCTCTCCAGATATGTATAATACCTTTGTTGTTTTGCTACATGTGATCGCAAGTCAAGTCTGTCATGTTGGACGACACAATAAAAACATGGGGCTAATTCCTTCTAGTTTCTTTTGCTAACCTCTGATTTTCAAAAGTTGTTTAAAACCTCCCATCTATGTCTCTCTCAATATATTGTTCAGCCCCTGTTACAAGTGCAAAGTTATACTGCATAACTGGTGACAGTAGAACTGAGTTTCATTGTATTGAATCACGTTGACAAGGGATACAGGATATACTTGCCTTTCGTGGGCAGGCTTGAGAATGCCAACGAAACTGTCGATCTTGCGGAGCTGTTTACAAAGGTCGTGCAGTCGTAAGGCCTCCTCGTGACTCATCAGGGCTTCCTTAAGGTGAGCCTTGCCTGTTATCAAAATAATGACAGATTGAAACAGAACATTAGACAACATTATTTGAGCAAGGTTGAGTATTTCAAGGAACCACCTACTAAAAACAAACTTTGAATCCAAAACGAATAAAAGGCCATAACTCTGCATAATAGGGAATGAGGCCCCATTTCAGTATGACACACACAATTCAAGTAGGCATATATCACATGTCTGTGTATTTTGAATCGCTATGATGAAATAGATGAAATATGGAATTCCAAGGCATATCAAGTTTTTAGTTCCTCTTTCACAAGGCAAAGCCAAGGGAAATAGACCTTGACTCAGGGAACGAGAAACCCACTATGTCCCCATACTATATACTTTTAACTGTAAAATTATAACTGTGTTCTCAGTCCAACAAACATGCTGCATTACTCTCTTTATTGTTCAATGATTTATAGGCCGGGTTATGGCAGCACTTACCATGCTGGAGTCTCTCCTTGTCTGTGCGAGGCGTTTCTACTTTGTTATTGTCATCATCCACTTCAGAGTTCTGGTGAGCAGCCATATACAGGCCCAGCTTGATGTGGTCATTATTGTCTACAAGAGGATTCAATACCATGGTTTAAAGATTACTGCCTTCTCAAATAAGCCCAGGGGGCCAACACATGATCTACGACTGAATATCTAGACTCACACCCGTAGACCCTCGAACCAGACATGATCTCTGACTGAATATCTGTACTCACACCCGTAGACCCTCGAACCAGACATGATCTCTGACTGAATATCTATACTCACACCCTCGAACCAGACATGATCTCTGACTGAATATCTAGACTCACACCCGTAGACCCTCGAACCAGACATGAACACCCTTACGCATACAAACACATATCTGCTACAAAGGACATCTACAAATATTCATTCTTTCCACACACAATAACACAATGGAATCTCCTTCCCATAGCAGCAGTACAACGCACAACACTTGAGGACTTCAAGTCACACATACCCTATGCAGCCCTTGAAGCCCTCATCACACGCTAGTACATACACCAGTTTTTAACCTTTTATCTTATACCCTGCACAAAAAAAATTAACCTTATCTAATCACCGTAAATAACCCTTTTTTCACGCCTCTGTGCACAGGTTACCAAAGGCATAATCATCAATGTTTTTTGGTGGACCCCTTGTACACTAAAGACGAAGAGAACAATGGAAATTGAACAACTTGAACAAGTTATTACCTTCCATCACAACTGTCAATCTGTAGTAGGCTACAGCTATAAATCATTACAGATATTGCCATTTACCAAATGGGATCCATTTTCCTTCAGTGTTCACACTGATCCCAGCCAACATCAAACTTAACTCATTCACCCCTGAAGACAAATTTGAACCCTTCAAATTCAAAGGTTGGAATATTTCATTATAAAATTTCAGAAGTGAATGAATTAAGTAGAACTATAGTATGTCTATAGGACATGAATGCCCCTGCTCCAATACAAATGGTTTGTCATTGTTTCACAATTTTTGATAAGTATGGTGACCATCGAACCCTGCTATATGAACTCTCTCAAGGTATTCTATTTAGAAATTATGTTGCTGGAGTGAAGGACTGATTGCAATAGATAATAATAGTGGCCTTGACCTTGGAACCCTGAAATACAAACTCTTTCAAGGTATTCTTATACTTCACCTATAACTAACGTTTAATCAAAATCTGTTCAGAAATGAAGTTACTTGAGCGACGACACTGAATCAGAACAGAACATGACAGGATTGGACAAACATGGGGCATGGGGCATTTCAGGGGCATATGCTATACCCTACCCCTATATAAATCAAAAGGATCAGAAAACATTACTGAATAATTGAAAGATATGATACTTTGAACCCAAAAAAGCTAGTATTAATACATGTACTGCTGTTCTGTTGCAATCTGATCATTTTACAAGAAATTCCATTACATCATTATAGATTTGTTTGCTATTCAACATCATCTGTATCTTAGACTATTGTTTCCCATACCTTTGTGGTTCAATATAGCGCTGGCCATGTGTTCGTGGGCGATAGCCATGTAGTACTGAGACTTCACCTGCGTCATCGACAACCAGGAATAAGGGATGTAATCCTTCAAAGGCTCGGACGCCATCAGAACCTGAGTGTCATCATACATCTGTGACACCTGTTAATGAAACAAAGCTTTTAGGAATGGTTCAACCCGCAACCCATCAGAACCTGATTGTCATCATACATCTGTGACACCTGTTAATGAAACAAATCTTTTAGGAATGGTTCAACCCGCGACACATCAGAACCTGAGTGTCATCATACATCTGTGATACCTGTTAATGAAACAAAGCTTTTAGGAATGGTTCAACCCGCAACACATCAGAACCTGATTGTCATCATACATCTGTGACACCTGTTAATGAAACAAAGCTTTTAGGAAAGGTTCAACCCAAGACACATCAGAACCTGATTGTCATCATACATCTGTGACACCTGTTAATGAAACAGAGCTTTTAGGAATGGTTCAACCCGCGACACATCAGAACCTGAGTGTCATCATACATCTGTGACACCTGTTAATGAAACAAAGCTTTTAGGAAAGGTTCAACCCAAGACACATCAGAACCTGATTGTCATCATACATCTGTGATACCTGTTAATGAAACAAAACTTTTAGGAACGGTTCAACCCGCGACACATCAGAACCTGAGTGTCATCAGATATCTGTGACCCCTGTTAATGAAACAAAGCTTTTAGGAATGGTTCAACCCGCGACACATCAGAACCTGATTGTCATCATACATCTGTGACACCTGTTAATGAAACAAAGCTTTTAGGAAAGGTTCAACCCAAGACACATCAGAACCTGATTGTCATCATACATCTGGGACACCTGTTAATGAAACAAAGCTTTTAGGAACGGTTCACCCCGCGACACATCAGAACCTGAGTGTCATCATACATCTGTGATTCCTGTTAATGAAACAAAGCTTTTAGGAACGGTTCAACCCAAGACACATCAGAACCTGATTGTCATCATACATCTGGGACACCTGTTAATGAAACAAAGCTTTTAGGAACGGTTCAACCCAAGACACATCAGAACCTGATTGTCATCATACATCTGGGACACCTGTTAATGAAACAAAGCTTTTAGGAATGGTTCAGCCCGCGACACATCAGAACCTGAGTGTCATCATACATCTGTGATACCTGTTAAGGAAACAAAGCTTTTAGGAATGGTTCAACCCGCAACACATCAGAACCTGATTGTCATCATATATCTGTGACACCTGTTAATGAAACAAAGCTTTTAGGAATGGTTCAACCCGCGACACATCAGAACCTGAGTGTCATCAGATATCTGTGACACCTGTTAATGAAAAAAAGCTTTTAGGAATGGTTCAACCCGCGACACATCAGAACCTGATTGTCATCATACATCTGGGACACCTGTTAATGAAACAAAGCTTTTAGGAACGGTTCAACCCACAACACGACATCATGCTCTATGTTTAATAGAAATTCTTTACTTTAGGAAAAATCCTTAATTCTCACAATTAGATTTGTTTAAGACTATATGTCATTTTTCTGTGAAATGTATCTTTATTCTGAAAGAATTGAACATTGATATAAGAAACTAGTGAATTTTCTGAATCAATGATAATCTAGACCTAGTCCTGATTAATAAATTGATAACATATACATATCTAAAAAAATAAAGTTGCTTGGGGACTTGTCTTACAAGTATGAATTAAACAACCTACCACAATGGCCTCTTGTGCTGCTTTTACATGGGCTAAAATTCCTTCCACACCACCGAAAACTTTGCTCTCAAACACACACTCCTGGGCCTGACTCTGAAAACAAAAAGTTATCATTATAATTCATTACACCTCATACGGGTATTTTGTTTTGCATTTTTGGAACTTTTCCTTAAATTTCAGTATTTTAAAGGAAAATGAAAGAACGGTATCGTGCATTTTTCAATCCTTACCATCATGAGCTGGACCATCATTGTGAGAGTCTGTGGCTGCATGTCCATACTAGGCGCGTTCGAGAAATGATTGTGTAGGTACCGGAATGTCCCAGCAGCCTTCTGGAAACTATTTATGGCATACTGCAGGCCAGTGGGATTAGTGCGGTCCTGTAATAAAAGGTAAAATACCTTTACACTAGAACATTGTACATCCGACACTTAAATGTCTGTATAAAACTAATCACCAACAACCGATATTACGTGATCAGAAATTGTAACGGAAAACATCTGACTGTCGATTCTGAACGATATGATATATAAGATACTAATGTACAGTTATGCATGTTTATTATACAGTCCCGCAAATATTTAGAAGGGTCAATAGGGAGATCACCACACACTTAAATTTCTTGGTGGGAGATTGCATGCGATTATTATCTGGTACATACTGTAAACAAAGATGCAAAAATCCATCAGCGAAAAATCAAGAGTTATTTCCCTTTGACCACATTATCATCTCGCAGGTCGACAAGATGAGACAGGTTTTTGGAAGATATTGTCCTCGTATGGCGAGAGAAGCATTTCAGGAGAGAAAGGACACAATTTTTGGAGTATTCAGTTGTTTGTAGAAGGGTTGGCAGGCCTATATGGAAGTTATATGTACTATACAGTTACTTGCTTTAGACAGACGTACGTTTATACTACTGATTTTTGTTATGACTGATACTATATTCTTACCTCCTTGCAGCCAATCTGAGTATGTAAGGCCGCTATGTTGAACAAGACACTGCCTTTCTCGAAGCCCATGGTCTTCTGGGTGTTTGGTACTCCAGTTAATGAGTCATACCTAGTAAATCAAAAACAATACGGTTCATCATGATGATTACAAAGAAACCAATAAGGACATAAAAAATAGTTTGCTTCAGACATGTATTACTATATTTAAGAGTTTACAAAATGTGTCAAGGTCATTCCTTTGAACAAACTTGCCCAATTTATATTTTTTACCTTTTTGCCCTTGAACAAATTCTTGAACAGATAATGAGGGAAACATATTGTAAATGGAGTCAGACCTACTTGTAAACATACGTGAGATAATCCAACTGTTTGAGAATTTAACAGAGGGGAGGAAAATTTGTAGGACAAGAATACTACAGTTTACATAGGGTTATAGGGTTTGGTGTATCGAGGAAGAGTTTGTGCTAACCATCAAACTAATCCGGCTATAAAAACAACCCAGAAATGTAATTTTATGATTTTTTTTACCAGTGGAAATGACTGCCCAGGACCCTGTCTGGAGGGAAGAATCGTCTCTCTACGTAATACAGCTGATTGAAGTACTCCGTCAGGAGATTGACTCCATCTTCATTACGCTGTGGTGTCCTTATAGCCTGTAAACAAACAAAAATTAAATTTCAATCCTACATGTTATCCTCAGAAATTGCTGGAACTAATTTAAAAAAAAAAAAAAAAAAAGTGTTATAAATATCTATCAATATTTTTGTTTACCACATGATTCCGCCAAGAAAAAAAATATATGTTTGAGGTTACACGACTGAAAAAATTGGGGTAAGTTTGTAGGGATTTAAAAATTTACAAAAATCTATAACCCTTAGAGCTGCAGCAACAACACATTAACATGACAATACAATACGTATCACGATACACATAGTAAATAGATATGTTGCAAAGTTTTCATGGCAATATTACAACAGGAAATAGATTTGGGTCTTTAGACGTACATGCCGACCTGAAGCTGTCACTCGCCATATTTGAACGAATATGAGTAGATTAAATTCTGAAATGCCAAAATCCAGAAAATATTGTAAGTGTAAGACCTCCCAAAACATATTGTGTATTATATTCAAAATATCACAATATATCATTGCATGATATATAGTTGCAACCCTACCTACCATAGTTATTTAGACCAATTGTGTTAATTTTTCATGACATTTTAGGTCTTATAAATAATACTATAATATGGGTTTAAATTTGGTTTTGATACATGCCTAAGAAAAAGAGGTGTTTGAAAGATGTTTACAAATTTCGGCGCATTCGAATGGGACGTTTAAGTGTATTAAAGTGAGATAAAATTGTTAGAGTTGGACGTTAAAACTAGGGTAGATCAGGGTACCCGACACTAACTTTTTCTTTTTTTTCAGCCTTACAATATTTTTCATTGAACACAAAAATATACATTTTGCAATATAAGTTCCAGATTACAATAGACACACAGCCAGGAAGGTGGGATTTCAGACTTCAATAACCACAGGAAAAAGCCTGTCTTTTAAAATGTTAGAAAAGATTCTCCTGGGAAAATTATTGAGCCTTGCTCTCACATGCAATCCTGTTACTCCTTAAAAGACTCGGAGTATATTACCCAGACAAAATACTAGCCACTTCCTACCAACTGAGCTAGAGAGAATTCCCTTTTACTTGTTACTTAAATCCTATATCAACCTTCCTACAACATTAAAGGTGGCTTGAGATTGTTCTAGCTTCAAAATTACTCTGAAATAAAATATTTTTCTTTTTGATTCTAAACAAGAGGTCCAGAGGGCCTGTATCACTCACCTGGATATCTAAGCAATCATGGCAAAATATTCTCCAAATGAGATCAAAGGGAATATGCCAGACCTCAAGGCCAATCCTTGTAGCATATCTGTATTTGATTTTTTATGCCAAGCAATTTTATGTATGGTTATGGGGTGGGGATCTCAACTGTTTCCAAGCTGTGACTCAGAAACTAGGTCCCTAGGGTTGTGGCCAGACCCCAGGATAAATTCTAATATCATGACTGCATTCGTCTCTTTTTGCCCAGCATTTGTTTATATAGTTTTGGGGTGGGGATCTCGACCGTTTCAAAGTTATGACCGAGGGGTTATGTCTGCAAGGGTGGGGCAGACCCTTGGGTCAATTCTAATATCATGACTGCATTCGTCTCTTTATGCCCAACAATTGTATATATAGTTTTGGGGTGGGGATCTTAACCGTTTCAAAGTTATGACCCAGGGGTTAAGTCTTCAAGGGTGGGGCCAGACCCTAGGGCCATCCTGGAAGCAAATGTGCATTCCTCTCGTTATACTCAGCAATTGTATATATGGTAATATGGCGGGGAT